GAGTTCGTGAAGCGTGATCGGTGGACAGCGGCGACGAGCACGACAGTTATCCGTCATATTATCTGTGACAAGTTCAGATTAGAGGTGTTGAATGACCCTTGTGTCGGTGGCTATTATCGTGATGACCGTTGCCGGTGTCGCTGCCAGTTGATCGTCGTCATCTTTGCATTGCCGTTGTGTCCAGTTCGTCGACGGTGTACAGAGTCAAGTCACAGTCGCAGTTGTCGCAGTGACGATGAACGCCGGTGTCGGAGGATTGAGGCTGTGTTCCAACGGGCGATCGTGTCCCGGCTACGGTGACGCGTATGCCGACGTCTACTGTTGCCCGTCGATCGTCAATCCAGGAGACTTCTACTGCTGTGACCTGCTGACCAAACAGAGGAGCGAAGCCCATGGTCTTTGGAAAGAGTATGTAGATGTTGTTTTTTGTCATTACGACAAACTCGAAAACTCTGTTATGATTTTCAGCAGGGTCGGTGAAATTATCGGCGCCTTCATCGGGGCATTCGCCGTCTTCGTCGTCCTTGTCGTGCTGTGCTGCTCTTACTGTCACTGTTGCTACCTGTACAAATTGAAACAGAAGCGAATACGGAACCATGGTAAGCAGCCGTTTGGCCACTGGCCGTTCAGGCGTTGCGCCCCGTTCGGTTTTCTGTACGTTGTTTTGTTTCAGCAGGACCGAATTTCCATTGTGGACCGACGGCCATTGGCTTCTCGCGGAATCTGTACGTCGACAGGACGCAGTTGGATAACTCATGTTCATCGTTACCTTACTTTCATGGCTCAACGTGGGACCATAAGTCGCAGTTCTTTGGAGGTAACAATTTACGGACGTAAGCAGACGAGTGAAAAAGATGCGGTTAAGAGGAGGTCACCTCAGAACGCAAAAGCGACCACCAGTCTCGCTCGTTTCAGAGCACAAGCGGCGATGTGATCGTCGCGCCAGTAGCGTTACACGGAACTATTAAGTGAACGTTTATACACGTCATTAAGCAATTTGTTAAAACTAGCCGCAATGCGCCGGCCTCAGCGTTAAGCCGTATAATTGCTTGTCGTTTGGCCACCATCAATGGGTCAAGACCTTCTGGAAACGTCGTTGATTCGAATGATGCCGACAACCGGTATTTGATTATTTTTAAAAAGGATCTGATCGCGTGTACAGCCGCTGATCTGAATTAGCGTAGAATCTTGTCGTTGCGCTTCGTCTGCTGTTGATCAGCTGGTCGGTTTTCGAAATGATTCCATTTTAATGGGCTTTGATTTTCAAACATTTCTTTTGTTAGTCGTTGTGGATTTCTAATCTAAACTCCCTCGGTTGATCAAGGACGCTAAGAGCCTCAAATTCGGCCGCCTTCTCGACCTCTGCGGTTTCGTTTGAAACTCCAATAGGTGAAGCAGTAACTCTTAGCTACAATTCTTGATACAAGGTTTCATGACGTGGTTGCTCTTCTACGCTACCCCGTCCGTTTCTTCATTACTTCTTCCGAAAGTAACTTTGTCGCATATTCCTTAAACTCATATCGATGGAGGAGCATGCCTCTTTCGATTCCATGGTCGGCATCTGTGATGAGTAACGCTACTTCTGGCAAAATGTCGAATCTGTGTTAGTAAAGTATTTTTGTGGCTTTTCTTTCGCACTGCTAACCATAGAATTCAAAGTCGTGTCCGACAAGGTTTGCAACCGTGGTGATGTTAATCTCCATCGTGGCGTGTTGACACAGTTGTCTAAGAGCATCGCTTCGAACTCCGGAGGTGGCGGGTTCGATTCCGCTTATTCACGAATTTCCTTCAGCAGTGAACTTTTCACTCATTCCTTCGGGCCGGGGTTGGTAGAACTTCGAATTCAGAACCGATAGATTTCGAGTTTAAGCCCCGCTCGGTGATACTTTCCCCTTTTTCTTTTCGAGGTTCATAAATGAGTACAGTTCCGTGGAAGGAAACAGGGAACTACACGCTGCGCATGTCACATGACTGTAGACTCTGTCTTCAAAATAAAGCGCTCGTTGTTGATGGTACTGATATGTGGATAAGCCCTGTACCATCAGCTTCGGGAAAGGAAAGGCGCCAAAATGGCCCAAACATGGAAGTGAAGGAACACCGACATTCCAACGGTAAAAAATTTTCCTTTCCTTTTTTTCAGTTTCCGTTACCCTTCCAGAAATCGGTCGGGATAATGGAAATTACAGTGCTCCTTTTTAAACACGAATTAATGATATGCCTGGACGCGGTTGATGGAGTTTGTGCTTCTCACGAATAAGTTCTCATTCATACACCTCGGGAGGATGAAAGACCAGCGATTGACAGACGCTCTAGCCTATGATATTTCGCATGAGTTCAACGACCGTAAACCTCTACCAAGGTTCATACGATGATATTAGACTGTATTTTTTTCTGATTCGCAGACCGCCATAAAGCTGATTTCCACTTCAGTCGTAAAAAGAACCGTAAATTTGATGGTAGCCCATCCTCTTTACAACGATATTGCGATCCGCTTATCAAAACGTGTAGCAATCCTTTGTGATTTTTCCATCATTGCTACGGTATCAGAACCGTTTATGATTGCCGATATCTTTTATTGTTTTCCACGAAGTCACGCTGTATTTTGAGGTACTTGTTTATTCAATGCGATGCCATCACTTGACCGATAAGAGGACTTGAGCAGCAAATACAAATACCTCTTAAAACGGAAAAAAACGCAACCTCATTTTTCGATTTGTAGTATTCGTAATCATGGTATTTCGTGAAGCCAATTGATTGTAAAATTCTGGAGACAGTATCGCAGGTCAGGTAAATTCAGTGTGACTGCTGCACGTAACAGTTAACCGATTTTTAGGGACTGAATGTCAGTAAATCCTGCTTTCAGCTCGTGGATTGGTTAGGTGTTCATTAGTAGCTCTGTCGATTTGAGATAGAGGAGATGCACAGCTGCTTCACTGTCCACAGTTTAGCACAACACCACGGTTGGAGCATTCTACTGAGGCTAAACAAGCAACATAAAAATGATTTAATTATGCATGAGGCAGTGAAATGGTCACTGAAGTTTGACCTGCACCCGGTTTAGCACTTCAAAACAGGTTACTTTCCCTTCACTCCGTCTAAAGGAGAGCATTTAGGAGAGGAGCTTGTGTAAGTTTCGCTTGAGTTAGCGACCTACACTACCTCATGCTGGACGGTCGAGAGTTGTGTCTCCCCAATTTATATTACATTACTAGACACGTTGAAACAACTGACCTTAAACAATGGAATCTTCCTTGGAGAGGATATTCAAGGAAACTTTTTTTATTGGCAATATTGTTTTCTATTTTGCAACGTTTGGATTGGGGATCATACATGTTACTGGGAATTTGTCGTAGAAGCAGATGATCACAGCGGAACCGATATTCAGGCTGATAAACAACCGATCTTAAAAACCTGATCTCCTGCATAAAGCAGCATTAAATACTGTCTGTTTATGCGCATCATAACAACATGGTCAATCGGATGATTGACCACTGCCTCAGATCGTTATCATGGGTCTTCTTCGAAGCAAACAGATTAGTTGATTGACCTCCGTGTGCACCAACCGCTTCGAGAACGACAAGACTTCTGCAGTAACTCAACTAATTCTTTCCGTGAGACACGGACCGAACCGTCAGTACTGGCGGATCGATTGACCATATCGTTTCTCTTATATATGAATCTAACGTGTTTTATACCGTTTTCAGTATAACCACTAGCGCATGAATGAAATACTTCATCTTCTACTTTTGAGGTTTGTATCTGGTGCATTTGATGAATCATCTACTGTTTGTCCTTCCTAGCCTTGAATACACCTCTCTGAATCCTTTGACGGTCAACTACAAAGGGAGAGGCCAGCGGCCGTTCTCGCGCCCCGAACGACCTTCTCTTGCGTTGATGGCAAAGCCGTTTAGAACAAGGATATATGTTTCATCTGAACCAGGCAGGTGGATTTTGAATCAGCTCGTAGTTGATCTCTACTGCAATAAAATGAGGCTGTGGAAGTTTCTTCCTCGACGTTCAATGCACACTGCTTTGCACGGGTATCAACTTTATTTCCAAGCAGGCAAATACTCACCTCTTCCTCTTCTGTTTTCCTGTCTGTGTTTGGTTTCGAATTTTGTGTAAACAGATCTAACCTCAACATTAGACGCATTAG